AAAAAAAAATATAGATAGGTATATGAGAAGAAACATCAATGATCTTGAAAACTTCAAAGAAAGAAAATCTTGAAAAAAAGATATTTTTACCAGTTATTGGCCTTTCGATACCATTCATGTTAAGCAAAATATATTTTTTGTATCATCGCAATTCGAAAAGATACTTAAATAGCTTCATTTAAATAGATCATCCTGTGACATACATATGAGATACCTATATTATATTATTATATCTGCTTATATATGTATATCTGTATATAATATGATGTAATATAATATAATGATAAGGTAAAAATAATATGCTAAAATATGTAATATTTAACACTTATAATATCTCTGTTGTAAATTTTTATCCGCCACTGTAGTTATCCTTGTATTTACATTCAGTATATATTTATAAATATAGTATATATAGTACATTTATTCGATATGTTCATTTATTATTTTATTGTCTCAACAAATGATATGATAAGATTTATTTTTTCTGACTATGTGTTTCTGAAATTAATATCATAGTGTAATATTAATATTATACGAATTGAAGTCATTGCATACGCTTTTTTATGAATTGCAATTATTTCCTTTTTAATGTCACGAATACGTTAATGCAATATACATTAATTAATGCATTACATTTGTACATGATATCATGTATAATTAACTATTGCCTTAACAATACGTATTTATTGTACTTTCATTCATACTGGTATTTGTATTTATATAAATTATTATTACACTAGGAATTTTTATAATATGGTATGGATAAAAATATATTTGTTAATAAGAACTTTTTAACATATTTGATATATTACTTTAATAATAAAATGAGAAAATCATACTAAAGGCTAAAAAATTCTCATTTTTGTACTTTGTACGTAAATTAAAACACAGATACTTTAATTGCTGTAGTTGCAAATACATTAATTTAATCTAATCTATTTGTGTATTTAAGTATCTGTGAGAGATATTTGTTGATCATACAGAACATTCATGTTTTAACACTAAAACCACTGACGAGTAAAGTACAAAATTTGTAATACAGAAATTAAAGTGCAAGGAACAGAAAAAATATAATTTTAAGCAATAAATATATAGCATAATGTTATAAACTTTTTAGTTTCAGTCACTTTCATAAAGTTATAGAATCATAAAATATAGAAAGAAATTTCCTTTCGTAGTTCTAATAATAAAACATAGAATTAATTAAACTGACATAATAATATAATATAAATAATAATTTATTTACAGAGTCTACTAACATAAATGTAATATAAATTAAATTGATATAAATATAATATAACGATATAAATTGTAAATAAAATGTTGGATTAACATTGGCTTTTAACCATTTAGGATTTTTAGCACAATTAACACAAGTATATAATTGATAATTCTTACAACGATATATTTATCTGTGAAAAAGAATTTTGTTTGAAATATTTCTGAAAGTACAATATATATTGTTTCATTAATCTTTTATTGAAATCATGTATCTCAAACTATTATATACAGAAAATTATATAACATGTAAAGAAAAAATTTATTCATTACATGTTGAAAGTTTATCCTAACAGATATCTATATGGAAATCTACATCTACATTGGGACATAATAATCATTCCAATAATCTCGGAAGGATTAATAGTTCAAGAACATAAAAATACATGAAACATAAAAATGATAATCTTGCTGGCAAAGGGAGAATTAATAAATAAGGCAAAGCGAGAATTCGATAAACTTTATTTACATTTGATTGGCCAAACTGATTTATTTACATTTTAGCTAAACTAATAGAAACAATTTTGTTTTTT